ATTGCAAAATTGAAAATGTTAAAATTCGAGGATATTACACCTACTGCTGCGCTCTTTGTTTACAAATCTATCAATCACTTGCTTGACAATAATTATTTCCAATTCCGGAATAATCAGAGATACAACTGAGAGCATCCAGAGCTACTAAGACCACATCCCATGCACTCCTCTCAGTCCCAGACCTCCATAAAATATCACGGTGTGAAGGTGTGGAACAACTTACCCCCACACATCCGAGCAAATACTACGCTCCCTTCCTTTAAATCATCTTTTAAAAAATATCTATTGTCTAAGTATTAATACTTCTTGTAACACTTACTATATTTACAGTACCTGCTTTTGTTGTACCATCAAAACCGTTTTATCGGAAATTATCATGTAAATAAATTATCATTGCAATAAACATATTTGCCAACTAGACATAATCCTGACAGCTCTGTCCTCTTGTTCAACCGTAATACTGTACAGCCCATGTTGTACTGCTTCCCCATTATACTTGTGTTTTTCAATTCCACTGTAATTTATGTATATACGTATAATATAAGTAAAAGCAAATAATAAACATAAAATAATTAAATATTGAAGTGATAACCGTGGTTACATTACGAGATGTTCTTATTACCACCATGCTATTGTACTATTCCAGATGTTACTAAATGTTAAATAATACTTCCTTGAGATAAATGTATAGTATATGTCAGGTGCCTAAAAGAGAGCTCAGGTTCTCAACTGGCTCAGCCATGTTAATATTGTTATTATTATCCACTCTGTATCTGTGTGTTTCTGGCTAAATAAACTGTTTCAATTAAATTTAATGAATAGTGTTATCGGAGGCATGTCCGATGTCGGGGGGTTCCCCAAGATAGACCTTGGAGTATACACACACACACACACACACTTCTCCCCTCCCTCCCTCCCTCCCTCTACACCCTACAGTAATGGGTTGTACCTCGTCCTTGCCTCAGGGTCGTTCTCCGAGACTGCCACGTTAACACATTTTTCTGGCCAGATTTACTTTTGATAGTTAACGCAGACTATTCCGGATTTTCATGCGTGTCAATTCAGATTTTGTTGATTTTTATCCAGGATTTTCGTGGCTTTCCAGATTTCTTGAAAGTTTGCTCAGATTTTCTGGAAAGTGTACTCGGGTTCTCTAGCATTGTGTTGATTCGCCAGACTATCTCTCTTCGCCCTTGGCAGCACGAGAAAACAATTTTGTTAAGTCACAGTGGAATTTTGAGGAGTGGTAAACGCAGTAAATATAGTCAATCAGTCAAGTCAATTGGTCCGTCGGTCAACTAAGTCAGGTCAGTAAAGTCTGTTAGTCAAGTCAGTCAGTGAATATGTCAAGTTCATCAGTAAAGTCAGTAACTTAACAACACACACACACACACACAGACAGAGTGAGAAGACAACTTAATTACGACGTTACGGGCGGTGAGGTGAGAGGGTGAAGGAGAGAGGAGGTAGGTGGGGGATGAGCGGGAGGATGTGGTGGTTTGGGAGGGGATCATTGGGTATGGTGAGTCAGCATAATTGGTGATGGAAGAGAGGGGGGTGGGTATTGGAGTAGGGTGATGGACAAGAGAGAGAGAGAGAATAGAGGACTGGTGGTGTACGGGAGGGACTGAGGAAGATTGGGGGAGGTGGGGATGTATGGAGGTAGGGTCAGGGTGGATGGGAAAGGAAGAAAGATTAGGAGAGGGAAATGTGGAGGAGGGAAGTAAAGAAGAATATAGAGATGGATAGATGATCGTACTAGTTCTCATTGGATTAGCATTTACAAATACAACGCAGTTAAATAAACATTCAACGGTAAACTGTATAAAGGCGGGCAGCCCTCCACCACCTCCCTCCTTCCCTGCCTCCCACTTCGCTGTTTTTTTTCTCTTCTTCCACAAACTTTCTTTCACTTCCTCTTTTATTACCGAAAAAGATCATCTTGGATTTACTACACAAGCTGAGAGAGATGAGAGGGGGGGGGGGGTAGTAGAGGAGAAGGGAAGGGAGAGGGAGGTGGGTTAGTTAGTTTCGTTAACAGCTTTATTGGCAAAACTTTAGGTAAAATTTTCCTATTTTGAATAGTTCAATCAGGTGTTGACACTGAGGGTGCTATTCCTGTTTACTGCCACACAGGACAGAGGTTCATACACAGAGGAGATAATAGTATAGATCATATTCATTAGTATTATTTTCTATTTAAGGACTAATCAGTGTGGATGAGCTTATTAAGGATAGACAGCAAAAATATCTTCAAGGACTCCCGAGTCAATGTAGTAATTACGCAATAAGCCAGGTGGCCTGAAGTCTTTGACAGTATCACATTTAGTAATGAGAACATAAGAATGGGGGAAACTGCAGCGGGCCTATTGGCCCATACTGGGCAGTCCCATTTACACCCAACCCCTATCACTTGTATATCCGTCCAACCTATGTTTGAAGCTATCCAGCGTATTCTTTAAAGGTTTATCAGTGATAAACTTTGTGATAAATTATCACAAAGTTTACATGCCGAGTGTTCCCGTATAGGTACAGCGTTACAAACTTGCCAGATGTGTGTCTATCCTTGGCTGATTCTGGCCATGACTACAGCACATTGGTTCTGTCCTTGTGTTGGCCATAACGGTACCTCTTGTCACAATTTGTCATATTTACTAGCACTACAACTGTCAGGTCTCTGTGAATTTCTAAATTCTTCTCCCACATCCCCCCTTGCTTCTACACTCCCTTATTCTTGCTTGTTCCTACTTTCCCTCACCCACTCTGTTCGTCATGCCGATCTTGCATTCTCTGTAGAGAGACAAGAGAAAGGAGAACAGCAATTATAGGATCGGCTTGACGATTGGAGAGAGTGAGGTCGGAGGATAGGAACAAGCAAAAATAAGGGAGGGGGGGGGTAGTTACTTGACCTAGAGCTGGCCGTGGTGGAGCTTTTTTTTAACTACTTTATTGGCAAAGCTTGGCGTACAATTTTCTTATTCCGAGTAATTCAGCCAGGTCGAGAGAGAGAGAGAGAGAGATATATGTGGGACTCAGATTCTATCATGTATCACGGGTCTCAAAAGGATCATACGTTAAGCATCCCTCTAACTTATTGCTGCTCAAGATGAAACTATATCATGTCTAACTAACTCAGGTGTGAAACTATATCATGTCTAACTCAGGCGTGAACTATATCATGTCTTAACTAACTCAGGTGTGAAACTATACCATGTCTAACTAACTCAGGTGTAAAACTTTATCATGTCCAATTAACTCAGATGTGATAACTAGCTAGACTGTCTTATCTAAATATAACATCCAAAATGGCTTCGAAATTACTCTGGGACTCTTAACTTATGTGTGTGTTGTGTTGTATCGAGAGAGAGGGAAAAAAAAAGTTGTCTTACGAACTTTTGTGAATCGTGAGAGTATGTGGAGGGTCAGGTGGTAGACACGTGGGTAGACTTGCTGCGTGTCTTAACGTGGTCTGTGATTGTCCAGGGGAAGGAAGGACATGGGAAAACACATGTCCTAGTGAGGTTATGCACGGGGCGTTTGTTAGGGTGTGATTAGGTTTGTTTAGGTTAGTTTATGTTAGGTTAGGTTAGGTTTGGTTAGGTTAGGTTAGGTTAGGTTATAAAGTATTAGCGGTTATTTTAGTGAAGTTATGATGCGTTTATCTCCTTTCTCTCACATACCATTCCTTCTTACTCGTTCCACTCCTCCCCTCCGACATCATTATCTCCCCCCCCCCCCCATGCGGTGAGCGGGACGGTAAAGTAGGTCACTTAAACACACACACACACACACACATACATACATACATACATACTCTCAGCACTACACATTACAAAGCCAAAAATATGGATTGCAGTCAGAATACGAGACACTGATATATAACTACATGCAAATAAGTAAACATTAATGTAAAATTTGAGAAAGAATGAATGTAAATAATAATAATAATAAGAATAATAAGACGATGTTCTCAAGACATTTTTATATCGTTACTCACTTTTGTATTAAGACAGATGTTAAGTAACGTGAGGAGAGACATTCATTAGTGTTGTGTATATTAAGAGGGGGAGGGGGGTCAGGAAGCGCGAGTGTGTGACGTGTACAAGATCAAGAGTGACGTGAAGATTAGGACACCCCAGTTTATTTCACCTGATGATTAAACACTCATTTACCTAATAAAATATAATCTAACCTAACCTAACCGAACCCTCAAGGTAGCATTAGAGGGTGTACTGTACTGTATAATCTTCGGGTGAAATCAGGTGGGGTGCCAGTGTTCACAGGAAACCAACATGAAGATGATGGAGTCGTCTTGGAGATCCCTGGTGTGATAGGGAGGAGAGTTCAGGATATGAGAAACACTTTCTAGTCTTTGTTGTAACGCTGACAGCACTGGGGGGGGGGGATGTTCAAGGTCGCTGTCAGTCTGTCGAGACAAAACTGATTGTGTAAATTTTATAAATTGGTTCTATTTTTAACTGTTGTTGAATATTCAGGCGTGTTGGCCACAACAATCTGGTTCTGCCTGAAGCAATAATATACTGTAATGTAGTGTTTGTTGTTTTGAATAAAGTCGGAAACTACTTGATAATAGTATCACTAATGAGAAAAAAGTCATCAGTTCTCTCACCGTGCAGTAAACATATGGAGGCTTCTGTGTGTAATAATAATAATGATAATAATTAATGGGTCACTTGGTTGACAAATTATTATATATATATATATATATATATATATATATATATATATATATATATATATATATATATATATATATATATATATATATATATATATATATATATATATATATATATATATTGTGGTTCACGGGTGGTGGCTCAGAATGAGACCAGCCCACAATAACAGCGATGACCGGCCCCAACACACCAAGCCACGGTCAAGGTCGGGCTGGTTCCGTGTTGTGGTACACTCGCGTCTCTATACGATAGTTGACCCATTTATTTTTTTACCTCTAATGTTACCATTTTCTCTTACAGATGGCGGAGCAACATCAACTCGCATAATACAGTCAGTCCAACAAGGTCAGTTGTGATTTAGTTATTTTTGTTAGGTTCGGTCTAAGATGCATTAGGTTATGGTTAGGTTTGTAATGACCGTAATTATATTAGTTATACCAAGTTCTCATCAAGTAGAAGTATCTTAGTCACATGCAGTATATTATGAACACTGGCCTGACATGATAAGACTACTATCTGAAGACACACATCACTCACAGCCTGGCCACCACAAGACTCTCATGCTTATCGGCTCTGAATATACATCACGTGTTTGGGTGTCCTTGGAAATCGGAATAAACACCACCACGGCAGCAGCCCTGGTCAGTCAGAGACCTAGAAGCAGTTTAAACCCATAGACTATCTAAACTTTTCAGTGCCAGTCATTGGTATGGTGTCAAGAGTTGTAAGAGAAAGAATCAATAGTTGACAGTGTCCCTAATGTCCACTGTTGCTTGTGTTTCGGTCAATAATTAAATAAAGAAGTAGGGTATTTTGTGTCCGCTTTACAGGTCAGTGTTTTGATGAGTTAATGTTTACTAGCCAGACGACAGACCACTCTACAATAAATTTCATGTAACTCTGTGTTGGCATTCCATAAGTGTTAATATTCTGTAATTGCATTTCTACTTAGAATTTTGGTAATGGTGAATTATTCTCCAGCTCATTCACGCTACCAACTCGTCTTCCCATTCTTAATTTTTATCATCATGTTAGGTTGGGTTAGATTAGTTTGGATAAATTAGGTTGGGTAAGGTTAGATTAGGTTGGGTAAGGTTAGAATAGGTTGGGTAAGGTTAGAATAGGTTGGGTCGGGTTAGAATTGGTTGGATCGGGTTAGATTAGGTTTGGTTGGGTTAGAAAGGTTGGGTTGGGTTGGGTTAGATTAGGTTGGGTTAGATTAGGTTGGTTTAGATTAAGTTGGTTTAGATTAAGTTGGTTTAGATTAGGTTGGTTTAGATTAGGTTGGGTTGTTAGATTGGGTTGGGTTGGGTTGGGTTAGAAAGGTTGGGTTGGGTTAGATTAGGTTGGTTTAGATTAGGTTGGTTTAGATTAAGTTGGTTTAGATTAGAAAGATTAGAAAGGTTGGGTTTAGATTAGGTTGGTTTAGATTAAGTTGGTTGGATTGGGTTAGAAAGGTTGGGTTAGATTAGGTTGGGTTAGGGTTGTTAGAAGGGTTGGGTTGGGTTAGATTAGGTTGGGGTTAGATTAGGTTGGGTTGGGTTAGATTAGGTTGGGTTGGGTTGGGTTGGGTTAGATTAGGTTGGGTTAGATTAACGTCGAGACAAATAGGGGTTATTAGACGGTCTCGGCTGCGGCTCCGGAAATACTTCCCGGGAGAACTCCAGATTAGATACGTTGTCGGTATTTTACCCACCTAACTCGTCACTGGTATGGGGTGAGGTGTAAGATCTTTGTCCTCAATCTGCGAGCTTTTTTGTGTACTTTTTTTAGGTAAACCTCTTGATTACCAAGTACCTCTTGAGTACGTCCTAATAGCTGTAACAAGGAGCGGCCCATACGCTAGTGATCGACCTCCCACGCCTATAACATGTACAGTCCCAGAAGAAAATAGTGGTTTGGTCTGCACAATTGGTCACAACCGTCCTCCCTCGAGATGAGTTTCCAGCTGTCACTTGTGCCTCCTGTCATGACACCGACGCCACCCACGGCATTGTGTGACAATGCCTTGGTGATCGGTCAACTTAAATAGCTGGGAATTAAGGGTCAGTTCTGAGAAACCAGTTAAGCAGCTGGGTCCGTGCGGTGTGTGGGTCGTGTTGTCATGGTGGTATCGGATAGAAGGCAATGGCTTTAATATGTAAGTGTTAATCCGTGTTTCTTACCGAGATTATATATGGGTGTTGGTCTCCACAGTAAACACCTCCAGCTAGAATAACAGTACGAGATATAACAAATTATGACTAATTTCTTATAAAATAAATTGAGATAAATTAACTCTCCTCTTAAGCTCTAATTTAAGAGTGTATAATAATATCAGAGTTTCTCCAGGCTGTTGATGGACAAGTAACAGTGGGAAGAAGATTCATCTCACTCACCGGCAGGACCTAGTTAAGAGAACTGAGTACTAGTGACGCATATCCTGTAATATATAGCGACCATCATAAAAACCCCGTTATATTACCACTACCCTCCGAGTACCACTACCCAGTACCTCCCGAGTACCACTACCCAGTACCTCCCGAGTACCACTACCCAGTACCTCCCGAGTACCACTACCCAGTACCTCCCGAGTACCACTACCCAGTACCTACCAGTACCAGTACCACTACCAGTACCTCGTACCACTACCCATTACCTCCCGAGTACCACTACCCAGTACCTCCTGAGTACCACTACAGTACCCCTACCACTACAGTACCTCCAGTACACCCAGTACCTCCAGAGTACCACTGAGTACCAGTACTACCCAGTACCTCCAGTACCACTAGTACCACTACCCAGTACCTCCCGAGTACCACTACCCAGTACCTCCCGAGTACCACTACCCAGTACCTCCCGAGTACCAGTACCTCCCGAGTACCAGTACCTCCCGAGTACCACTACCCAGTACCTCCCGAGTACCACTACCCTCCGAGTACCACTACCCTCCGATTACCACGACCCAGTACCTCCCGAGTACCACGACCCAGTACCTCCCGAGTACCACGACCCAGTACCTCCCGAGTACCACGACCCAGTACCCTCCTGAGTACCACTGCCCAGTACCTTCCGAGTACCACTAACCAGTAGCTCCTGGGACCCATTATAACTGGGACCCATTATGACTGGGACTTATTATAACTGGGACCCATTATGACTGGGACCTAATAAGACTAGAAATCATTATGACTGGAAACCATTATGATTGGGTCCCATTTAGCCAGTCACCTCGTTGACCAGTGACTGTAACAGAACAATTTAAAAGTATGGAATTGTTAGGTTGAAGTAATATTTACTTTTGAGGTGAACACCGTGACAGTTTGTTTTTATGTCTCGGTAGGGTTGGTCAGCGTGATTGTGACGTCATTTATCTTATCTTTTATTTTAATATTCTCGTTATATTTCGAGACATGAAGTGATTCGAGTTATATTTCGAGACATATGAAGTGATTCGAGTTATATTTCGAGACATATGAAGTGAAGTTTATCGATGTAATAATTTTTGTTGTGTAAGTAAACAATAAGAGTCGATGACGTAAACTCCAGTCATGACCTGAACACTCACTATAAAGAGAACCAGAGCAGCTGTTGTTACTCTCCACAATCTTGGCCTCAACAATTGTGAGATTATTAGGCGGGTGGGAGTGTCTCAGCCCTCGGTAACTCTGTGAATTAAGCGTCATGAAAACACTGGCGCCATTGATGACAAGTCAAGGAGTTGCTTTCACAAAATAAAAGTTAAATATTGTCTTCCTATCCAAGAAATTATTGAAGATCTAACATAAGAAAATATTATTTTTTAATATTTATTTTTAAATGAATCAAAAATAAATACTGAAAATCGGCCTGGCAACTAAAGATGCATTGTTTGACGTCATCTCCCTGAAATGTCATTTCTACTATTTTCATTTCACGTCACGATAATCACACCGATATTTAATTCTATTAATTTAAATATTCACCAATAATTTAATGACCAAAATGAGAAAACCTCGACAATGCTGGTAAAATAATAAACGTGTACTGAAATACCAGTTCCTTATATTAATAATTTAACATATCCACAACGTTCTCAGGCTAGGCTATTACTTTTTTACATATGATTTGTAGTCTTCGCTTTCCAGTAAACTTATAAGTTTGATCATTTTAGGATTACACGGAACAGGAAAGTTGCATTATGACCAGTGACGGGAAGAGTGTTACTGGTAGCACCATATATTCCCATATAAGGAAAGCAGCGCTACCGCCATACACCAGATGCGGGAACTTTGTACGGAATTTTTCGCCGGTATGTCATATTATTTGACACCGAAATGGTAAAAGTAATTTATGGTCTGACTGTACCCTAACGAAGGAGGTGAAGGGGAGATAGAATAAGAATAGGGGGAAGTTAACGAGGTGGCGTGAAACGAAAAGAAAAATCAAAAGAAGAGTCAAAGGAATAAGAAGACTCAAAAGAAGAAGAAGAATCAAAGGATAATAATAATAATAAGACGAAGAATAGGAGGACGACTTTACCAAAGCCCAGCAGCAGGTAAAGGAGGTAGTAGGGCAGCAGTAGAGGAAGGAAGGTGGTAAGGGCTCGCGGGGCATCTGGTGGTGGCGGCCAACTCGTAGGAAATGCCAGCTAGTTACATGACCCTCGCCCATGTGTTCCCGAGATCTGTTGTTAAGGCGCTCCTGGGTTACGTCCTAGCTAGTCCGTCCTAGGAGTGTGATGATGGTGACTGATGTTCCTAGGATAGTGCCTGAGTGCTGGGGATGGTGATTGTTTTTTTGTTTTTTTTATTTATTTTTTTTAGATTAACAACTTTTTTGGCAAACCTTGGAGTACAATTTGCTTATTCTGAGTAATTGTCAGGTCTTGACACTGAGGGTGCTATCACTTTACACTGCCACACAGGACAGAGGTTCATACACAAAGGGGATCATAATATAGATCATATTAATAGTATAGGTCATATTCATGTGGGTGATATCACTGGCATACAGGATAGTGGTTCATATACAGTAGAAGTCATGTTCTATTTGAGGACTAATCAGTGTGGACTAGCATATTTAGGGGAGACAGCACGAATGTCCTCAAGCACTCCTGGTTCAATGTAGTAATTACATAGTTCATGATACAATAAGCCAGGTGGCCTGAAGTCTTTGACAGTGTCACATTCAGTAATATAGTGTTCAAGTGTATGCTTTAAAGGTTTATCACAGTTTACATGCTGAGTGTTCCGGTATGGGTACAGCGTTACTAACTTGCCAGATGTCTGTATCCTAGCCTAATTCTGGCCACGACTACAGCGCATTGGTTCTGTCCTTATGCTGGCCATACCGGTACCTCTTGTTACAAAATTTGTCATATTTAC